CTGAATTCCAATACCGAGCGGTACCGAGTTTCAGTACCGAGCGGTACCGAGTTTCAGTACCGAGCGGTACCGAGTTCCAATACCGAGCGGTACTGAGTTTCAGTACCGCTCGGTATCAACCAGTACCGAGGAATACTGAGTTCCAGTACCGTCTGGTACCAAGAGGTATCGAGTACCGAGTTTCGATACCAAGCCTATGATTAAGAAAACGAAGAAAATGAACCTTCACTGCTCACGTCGCCTTCATTGTTCGCGTTGTCGAGCCGCTCCGTCGACGAAGGATGATCCTATCGACTTTAATGCTCGTGTCGTCAAGCCTCTTTGTCGACAAAGGATGATTCTGTTTGCTTCTATGCTCGCGTCATCGAGCCGCTCCTTCAACTATAACGAAGAAGACGAACACTTGTGTGGAAACGAAAAACCTAGCTCTTTGAAATGTTTCGCCGCATAAATGAATATAGATATTGAGCGGAAACGCCGGAAAGCCGAAATGAATAGGGTAAATTACGCCTCGGATACGCGTGTCCAGTCAAATTTAAATAATATTTTAATTTGACAAGGCAAAGCCGTATCCGTGCCGTATCGGAGGCGTATCCGTATCCGACACGTGTCCAATACAGCACGCCTCGTAAATTGGTGTATCCGTGCAACATAGGTGACAAATAAACATGTATTCAAGAAGAGAATGATAGGAAAACTTGTAGATCTCAAGTATTTCCTGTCAATCTTGGAAAACAACGAGATTTATCCACATAAATACACACAAAACCATCAAAACAATAGATAATTTGTATTATTTGATGAAAAGAATGCGGAAAATACCAAGATACAATTGATCCTCTATTCGAGAGTATCGATCTCTCTCAGTTTTTAGACGTCGCTAGAGCCCAAAGGAAAACCTAAATTTTGGAGATCTCAAATTTCAACCAAATTCAAGATGCCCTAACCCTAGAAAAACAAATTATTTAATGCATACAATTAAAAAGGAAATCTCTAAACAGTCCCTACATTCAAACTTCCCTCCCAAAACCCTCAAAAATCCTTCCAAAACAGCCCCCGAAAGCTTGTGGCGTGCGTTCCGCACGTACAGGAGGGCGGAGAGTTTCGCCTGTTTTGCATAAGCAGGTCCCATCGAACCAGCTGGACTGGTCCAATGGACCGGTCTAACAATACTCCCCTCCCAAAGATCCACCTTGTCTGCAAGGTGGAAAGACGACACCCTCCTCCATTCCTTCTTCATCGCAAACGGTAAGAACCTAAAGAGTTTGGTCCTTATACCTGTGCCCAGCGTATACCTCTCGTCACATCTGAAACAGATCCCCTTCGCCCTCTTCTCATGTAATTCTATTTATGTGAGCTTCTTGAAGTTTTCCCCAGGTCTTCCTCAGGTAATCTTCTCCTTTGAACTCTCCCTAAGAGTATCCGGTGTCGGCTACTTGGGTACCAGAAAGGTGGTGGTCCTCCTGTTCGGATCTCCTGAGCTACTGCCTCCCATCTCACTCTCCAGGTGCCTCCGATCATCCACCAATTGAGCTAGCTCCATGGCCTCTCCCAAGTCACGAGGCCTCATTACTCTAACCGCTGCCCGAATCTCTAGTTTCAATCCATTCATGAAATTTTCCTCTAGCACTGTCTCAGGAAGGCGGTCCAATCAACTAGCAAGGTATTCGAATTTCTCCCGGTACTCCATTACTGAACCTTCCTGCATCAAGGAGAAGAACTGCTCATAGAAGTCTCCTCCCCTGCTAGTTTGGAAAAGTTCTGTCAAACAATCCTTGAACTCCCTCCAACTCTGAATGGGTCCATGTCCCTCCATTGATACCATGACAATGCCTTCCCTTCTAAGAACAATCCTGTCATTGTCAATTTCTCCTCCTCTGTCAACCCGTTGACTACAAAGTATCGTTCAACCTTGTAGATCCACCCATGTGCATCATTGCCCTCAAAGATGGGCATATTCAGCTTTCTCACTTTCGGGTCACCCCCATTCCCCCTGAATCCTCCATAGCTTCCCATTCATCGAAGAGGAGGTGCCCCCCAATCTTCACGCTCTTTCGTTCGGCGCTCATAACCAAATCCTTCCTCAAAATCCCCTTTTCTTCTTTCAAAACTAGCACCCCGGCGATCGAAATCATCCCATCCTTACAAATTCCGCACCCCTTCTTGGGTAGCTAATGCTCATCTGCTCCCTAAAAAGTGGTTCTATAGGAGACATTCTGTTTTCTCTCTCCAGGATCTCCACTTTTGGATTTTCCCTTCCCCTAAATGTGTTAGGGTTCCCACCTCCATGGTCGCCGATAGTTTCCTTTGCTTTCGATGTCGGCGGTTTGGTTTTGGCTTCAAGCAATCTCTTCAACATGTATTCCACGACGGCGAACTTTTCCTCTACTCTTTATTGACAGATGTGATAGGATTTTGAAAATCAACAATCTTCTCCTCAAACTCTACTTTGAGTTGCCCAAGTTCCCCCACCAAAACTTCCACTTTCCTTACGGCATTAGTTACCCTTAGATCGACGTGCTCTGATACCAATTTGATAGGAAACACTTGTAGATCTCAAGTATTTCCTATCAATCTTCGGAAAACAACGAGATTTCTCCACAAAAAATCCACACAAAACCATGAAAACAGTAGATAATTTGTATTATTTGATGAAAAGGGAGCGAAAAATACCAAGATACAATTAATCCTCTATTCGATAGGAGGATCGATCTCTCCCAATCTCTAGACGCTAGAGCCTAAAGGAAAACATAAATCTAGGAGATCTCAAATTTCAGCCAAATTCAAGATGCCCTACCCCTAGAAAAACAAACTATTTAATGCATACAATTCAAAAGGAATTCTCTAAACAGTCCCTACATTAAAATTTCCCTCCCAAAACCATCAAAAATACAGCCCCCCTGAAAGCTTGCGTCATGCGTTCAACGTGTACAGGAGGGCGGAGAGTTCCGCCTGCTTTGTGTAAGCTAGTCCCGTCCGGACCGATCTAACAAAGAATCTTCCTATAAAATGAGAAAGATCAATAACAAAACACAAAGTCATATTACAGAATCTCATTTTCCAACACTTCGCAATAAGATATCCTATAATGCTAAAATAGTACAAACTACAAACTTACCAGAATCTAACATACAACTATATTCTTGACTGCCACCAATATTCCAAACAACGAATTTGTGAACTAATGGGTGATTAACCACAAATTGCAGCCCAAGATGTAATATAATCTATTTGTCAATAAAATCATGCCTTGAGACCAAAATGAACAAAAATATTTCCCGGTCAAGGTACTTTGAAGTTATTACAAAAAAACAGATCAGTACAATCAATATCCATAAAACAGAAAACTCTTGTTACTATAATCAAAGAGAACAACCAATTCTTAAAGTCACAGATTGTTTAACTATATAAATGATACATTAGTAACTCTACCCTAATAACAGTTTCTTTAAAACATTCAATAAGACATTTCAAGCATACCAATTCAAATACCCTTCTATTTAATCGTAGAGTGCCCTGGGTGACAATTATGAGATTTTGTAGCCCTTACTATTTACACTTTTTTTAAAGGTAGAAATGGGCAAGATTCGACCTTCAAAGACAATCCATCAAAGAAATCAGGTATGGAGGGTTTTTTGTTGCTTGAATCCTCCAAAAAGAATCCCAAAGGGCCACATATTATAGAGAAAACGGACAAAATCTTTCATGGACATTTATAAGCGGCCATTTTAATCCCAAGACTATTTTAAGTGCCAAATTTAGTTCATTAGTTCCTCAAATAAGATCCAAATCAATCTCACAGTTAAAATCATGATTTAATTTGACAAAAATTTCATACAAAGTTCACAAAAAAAGACAAAATGTGAACTTTGCATGAAATTTACATCAAACTACACAATAATTCTAATTGTTAAACTATTTTAGATCATCTTTGAGGATTCAATGGACTAAATTGAACATTTTAAATAGCTTAAGACTAAAATGGCCCCCCAAAAATTATTTTCACCACTTTCTCATAGATCACATAACAAATTAATCCATTTGCAAGACAATTTTTTTTGCCATACGATACAAATTACAATAACATAATTGAACAGTTCTATTAGAACCTATAAGATGTCATGTACAGGCAAAATCAACCCTAATCTTAGAGACACATTTGCAAATCCTAATTGAGTGTCATGGACAAAAATTTAGTCAAGTACAAGGAGAATGGTGGTAATGCCTTCTTGCAAATCTGGAAAGCAATGATAAGATATTCGCAATAAAAAATACTGCAATAAGGAGCACATTAAGCTAGATCATATGATATTCACAAGCAATAAACTTTTTTTTTTTTGCTGTGATTTAAAAAGACTATTGAACACAGATTAATATTCTACAGTTCAAGAGAGATTCCTGTAAAAACGCCAAGATTTGACAAGCTAAGATTATACACAATTAGAAAAACATAAAAGATGAAGAGCGTTCTTTTTTACATGGCTCACAAAGTGGCAAAATGCATTTGCATATAATAAGTATTCTGAAAAAAAAAAGTTCATAAATTCACACTAAAATACAATTGAAAACAGCCAAAACCATTAATAATATAAGATATTAGGAACAAGTAATCACTTGTATAGAAGTACACGATATGCTTGTAAATCCAAATAAGCTTATTTAAAAGAATAGAAAAATAACCTTAGTGTTTTCAAGCATGAGTGCTTCCTAGAACGATAAAGAGCTGTCATTAATTGCCGTAAGGGTAATGTTAAAGATGAGTGCTTGAATTTACTGATAAATGAAAGCAGCTTGCAAAAAAAATCTATATAATCAAATAGTCGAGTAATAGGCAAGAGAAGCAGCCTGCAACAACAAATATATATATATATAATTATTGTGTATTACTTCTATGCTAATTTCCAAGCTTTTTCATGTCCAAAAGAGTTGAATAAAAGCAGTGGACAACCAATAAAAAGAATAAATTTCAATACAATTCATCTCTTTGTCGAAAAGGATACCTGCATAATCTGAGGATGCCACTCATGAAGGCTACGAAATACGGAATCAATATCCCCATTCATAATGAACTGTGATTTTAAGTAAAAGTAAATGGTCAGTATATCTGATGATTCATTTTAGAAAAGCACTAATGAAGAGGATAAAGGAAGCGTATGTCCTCATAAATACCATAACCACTATGTACAAAAATAAGAAAATTAGAAAAAACCGCACGCAATAAATAAATGTAACTAGCAAAGGCACCAAGGGAAGAACAACTAAAGAAAACTGCATAAATAAGCAAGAGTTGAAAGTGCAGTATATAATTATACAGAAAAGCCTATAAGCACTAATGAAGAGGATAAAGGAAGCGTATGTCCTTATAAATACCATAACCACTATGTACACAAATAAGAAAATTAGCCAAAACTGCACGCAATAAACAAATGTAACTAGCAAAGGAAGCAAGGGAAGAACAACTAAAGAAAACTGCATAAATAAGCAAGAGTTGCAAGTGCAGTATATAATTATACAGAAAAGCCTATATATAATAGTCCCCACTTGCCTGCCGCAATATCTTTCTGTTGCTTAATTCATAAGCATCTCCCTGTTCATGGAAACCATTCTCCTGTGGTGTAGGAATGTGTGGAGACATGATTCCACTCTCAACGTCAAATGAATTTACAGTATCTTGGTAACCATAGTGCAGCAAATAAGAACGAACAATCCTGAAAAAAGAGAAGAATATAAATTCGTTAGCGATAGATAAATGGGTTCTAGTTGTTATCACTAACAACAATAAGATCAAGCCTTTATCCCACTACGTGGCATCGGCTACATAAATCTTTTTTTCTCTATTGTGTCCAGTTAAGAGTCAAATTCTCATTTAAATCCTAATAAAGAAAGGTCATTTCTAATATTTTCTAACCAAGTGTTTTTAGGTCTACCTCTACCTTTCCTAACATAAGCCAAACCTAATACATCTACTCTCCTAACCGAGTCATCAGAAGGCCGCCATTTTATGTGACCAAACCATCTAAGGCGACTATCTCTAATCTAATCTTCCAACGGAGCTACTCCAACCTTTTCATAAATATGCTCATTTCGTATCCTATCTTTTCACATATATGCTCATTTCGTATCCTATTTGTAAGAGTAAAGTCACTCATCCATCTGAGCATCCTCATCTCTGCAACACTTAACTTAATATTATGCTCCTCTTTTAATGGCCAACATTTTGTACCATAAAGCATTGTAGGTCTCACTACCATCTTATAGAATTTTCCCTTAAGTTTAAGGGTGTATTTTCTATCATGCAACAAGCTCGATGCATTCCTCCACTTCAATCATCCAACTTATATTCTACTAATAATATTCCCATCTATTTCACCATCACTCTAAACAATAAAACTGAGACATCTAAAATGTGTACTCTTATTAATGACTTGATCGCCCAAAATAACAATCCCCCCACTAGATCTATTACTACTAAAATTACACTCCAGATATTCAGTTTTAGATATACTCAAATGAAAACCTTTAGACTCTAAGATTGACCTCCATAATTCAAGTTTACTTTCAACTCCCTCTCTAGTCTTATCAACAATAAGAATATCATCAGCAAAAAGCATACATCAGGTACAGCCTCTTCCAATGTCTAGTGAGAACATCCATGACTAAAGTAAAAAGATATGGGCTTAAGGCTGATCCTTAATGTAATCCAACTAAAATAGAAAAATACTTCGTCAAACCACCTTTGTTTGAACACAAGTAACAACTCATGCATATATATCCTTAATGACTTGAATATAAGCACTATTAACCCCTTTCATTTCTAAAACTCTCAATAGCACTTCTTCATGTACTAGTTGTATTACCAACAAAGACAAATTGAATGTAAAAATAAATAAATAAAAGTAACTATGACATGCTTCACAATGATGAAAATTTTAATAAGATAAGTGATTTATACTAAAAAAATGATAAATTAAATTTACATTTCCTGGAGTGAGTGGCTAGAGCATACATCAATTCAGATTTCAGATTTTATTTAGAAGGTTTATGATTATTCAACTAAAAGTTTAGTAGCTTGCTAAATAATTCTCAAAACAAGTAACCGTGGCTTTTAGCATATCATGAGCACAAAAATCATCATATTTATTCAGTTGAAACTAGATTATCAGGCTCAATTTCATCTCTGCAAAAATCAAAACAGAAAATATTGTTGCAGGAGCTATCAGCTAGGGATCTACACTAACTGAAGAAAGCATGCCAAGTTTATACACACAAGCTATTGACATCAATAAATTGCACGGAATCTAATATGACCAAATTCAAGCTAAAAAATAGGAGAGCCATGGGAGAGAGATTCTCCGGACATACCAATGACTAACATTAGGTGATAATGTTAATTTGTCAATTAACTCTTCTTGTTTTAGTTTCTCCTTCAGTATAAATACCTGCCCAGGGATAAATTAGAAAAATTATAAGGACATAAACACCTCGGTCAGATGTAGAATAAAAGAAGGATAAAAAAATGCAGGTAATAAAACTAGAATCAGTTATATGCATATTCTGATTATTAAATTATTAAATTGAAACAAAATTCAATCCACGAACAGTAACATTAGACAAAGGATTCTGTATAGTATCATAGGTGTGGGCTTCGAAAATTCCATTTGTGTGATGACCCCGGCCTCTCCGCGCCATCTGTCTATTTTTCTTTTATTTGTTTGTGTGACGATGACGGTAGAGAGTTTTAACGAGATTAGGCTCTGGGGGAATTTTCAGAAGGCAAATTGGGTTTTAGATAAGACACTATCCAGAGATTTCGCCCTCATTTTGTGAGGACTTTTTTATCTGAATTCTGATTTAAGCCCCTATAGTTAATTACCCCTCCTAATAACATGAGAGAACTTTCGATTAAGGCTAGTCGTTAAGGATGTCACATAGATTATAAACCTATTGAATAATAGCAATAGTTTTAGGGTTTTGAATTTTGATCTTATGATTTGGATTTTAAAGTTTGAAATTTAGAGTTTATCACCATAAACTTTAAACTGTTTGTGGGGGGAATAAAGACGAGCCCGATCAAGATCCCATGGTTCCATCATCCCGGGCTGTCATGATCCCTGGTCTACTTAGTCCGAGAAGGTAGTCGACCCAACCTGACAGAAAGCACCTTGTCGGCAGCCATGGGTTGTTTAGTCCAAGAATACTTTGTAGACCTGGGTTGGTGTTTGTCTAAGGGGATATATCTGAATTCACCTTAGTTGACAGAGGGCTTTGTGCCTATTAGATATACCCTATGATTCATAGCTCAAGGGTTTGATGCCTTAGGGAACATACGGGCTTTGGTCGTGACCGAATTAGAATGGTGCCAGTTTGCGGCAAAACCATCCGATCAGATGACGCGTGCCACATCCCTGCTGGCAAAATAATGTTTGAGGATGAATCAAAGTGATACACCCAATACGCATTAGCTCTGTGAGCTGAGGTTAATTTCAAATTTATCACCCCCACTAACGGTTGCGGAAGTTGGATGATTTTTAGTTTTAAGTTTTCAGTTGATAGATTTTATTTCATAGATTTTTGTTGGATTTGAGATTTGACCCCTCCGGTTAAGATTTTCTGTCAACGCGGTCATTATCGGGGTGACATTAAGGTCACTTGTTTTTTAAGGATTTTGGTAGGTATTTTGTATTTCAAGTAATGTCAACTCCAGTTCTTTCAAGAAGGATGATGAAACTTGAATATTTGACCCGCGCAGCATTCTCAAATCGTTACATTTGGGACTTAGATGTGACGATGTGAGCACATGTGGGTTGTAGCATTTGATCCTGCGCAGCATTCTAAAACATTGGAATTTAAAACTTTATTGCACTTGTCGGAGCACATGCATGGTGAATTTTGTTTAAAAGATCATATTTAATGCAAAATGGGCATTTTAAAATATTTAAATATGAACCATTACGCAAGTGATTTCGTTTAGAAAATGGTCCGGGATTTCATTTAAGGGCCTACGAATGCCTTCTGTCCTCTTGTACAGATGTTGCGGATCTGGTGGCATATGTCGTATTTTGTATTTCGGTTGGAGGAAATAGTTTGAAGCTATAATCACCTTAGATCTTGATGAATTTGACTCTTTCTCCTCAAATGACATGTTTTATATTTTTAATTGAAGGTTTGAAATTTAAAGTCACATATATAACTATGAGGACCATTCACTTGTAAGGATGTTGTTAAACATGAGATATTATTTCATTCATTTTTCCTTATCAATTATAATTGCAGTCAAATATTGAAAGATTTACATCCTTATTAATCGGTTGAATCCTGATATACTTGTGTACAATAAAATAGATTAGACCAAGATATCCTTAAATTAGTAAGTGACCATCAATCTCTTGTCATTATAACATAGCTTTAGGCTTTCTAGATCATCAAATCATTTGATCCTTACCCCTCCTCACACATTCGTGATATGTCTTTATCTGATTGAATGATGAGCATTCTTTAAGGCTTCCATCCTAGCTCAGTATTCATAGTTTCATTAGGATTATGCTTTGTATTATTTCTTAGTCCAATATTTTAAACTCCTCAATCATTGCCACAACTCTCTAGGGCTATTACTTCAAATATCTTTGTTACTTAATCCCTTCAACGGTCTCACTCTCATCGTTATAGGCCTTAGATTAGGAAGCCTTAAAAGTAGCTTTGTTGAAGTTTTCTCTCATTTGGATTGAATATTGTGTTGTAGTATATCTTCAAGTGTTAATAAAAGGAAGTTTAGATTTATTTGATTTATCAATTTAAATATAAATCATGTAAATATGTCAAAACTTTATTTAAAATTAATTTGAGGGATCTTTTGTTCATTTAAAAATTTTGGCAGCCTTCCAGCATCCCCTTCCCGACGCCAGGAGGTAAGAAGTGGCTCGACTCGACCGGAATAAATTGACGGCGAGGAGATTAAGTCTTCAAAAGCATTGATTGGCGAAGATTGGTTGCAGATCGAATGGTTGTCGTTGATTTGATGCATATTGTAGTTGATTACCGATGCTCGATTGGAGATCCCTTGCCATTTTTTGTCATTTAATTTATTAATTAATTAATATTGCAATTATTTTTAAATTAAATGGGCATTTGAGCAGTTTCCAATCTTCCAAAAAAAAATTTTGGCTAAGTCCCGAATTTTTGAAAAAATTTTGGCAACCTCCCGGTGTCCCCTCCCTGATGCCGGGAGGTAAGAGAGTGCTCGACTTGGCCGGATCAAATTGACGGCGAGGAGATTTGGGAGAGCAAATCGATCCCATAAAAGAGACTTCAAATCTTCTAATGTATGTGATCTATTAATTTAAGCAATTTACTTTAATTTTAAAATATTTTTGGTCCCCTCGAAAATCCGGCAGCCTTCTGTCGCCCCCCTCCCCTCACGGGGAGGTTGGGGAGGGCACTTGCCCTTTGGCTCGACTCTGCCGGAGCGAATCAACTGCGAGGATATTGGAAGAGTAATGTCTGCGCTCCCTCGGTTGGATAATCTCGACGACCAAGGGCTTCAGGAGACCGAATCAACCCCAGGACTTCCTTCAAATTACTCCCACCTACTTGCAACTTATTTCTTTCCATCTCTCTCTCTCTCTCTCTCTCTCTCTCTCTCTCTCTCTCTCTCTCGGCGTGCAAGTCGTCGGCGGAGGAAGGTAGGCCGGAGGCAGGTCGGTGGCGAGTCAGGCGATTGCCAGCATCCTTGGTCGACGAAGGGTCGGTCGGAGTTGGTGAGACTTGACCGAAGCAAACAAGTAGATCAAGTGGACCTAGGGCACGGCGGCTTTGGTGTAGACGAAGTCGGAGGGTTCAACGGAGAGTCAGTGTTTGGCGGTCGGAGATGGAGGATGACGACTTGCTGGAGTTCAAATGGGGGAAGAGAGGCGTCGGAGGGAGGAGCGGCGAGTCCGGATAGCTAGGGCAGAACGACGAACCAAAGCACAAGTATGGGATCTTTGTCTTCTCTCTGTCTATTCCTTTCCTTCGATTCTAAGTGCGTATTTTTTTGAGAGCGTGAGATACGAATGAGAGGAGTCCTTTTTGTGTCGTGAGAGAGCCGTTATCAGTCCGAGGGCTTTACTCATGATGGAATTTTATGATAACAATATTTCCTTAATTCAGTCTATGGCTTAATAAGAACTGCAAGATAACTTCTTCAGTCCTGAGCTTTGTGCTTTATCGAACATACTGAACAAGAGAAGCTCCATAGATCTTTAGCTTTGTGCTTAAAAGATTTATTGAAAGATAATGCCTCTAAATTTGATAGGAGTTTTCATTGTGGCTTGGTGCCTTTCACTTGATTGAGACTTTTCTTCTGAATTTTGCCTCAATCAATTTGTTAGTTGAAGAAACCTTCAGAATCTGAACTGTTTTGATTTGTTAAATTTGACAAATATCATACTTATTAGTATTTGTCATCGGGCTAACAAAATAGGTGCTTTCCTACTACGGCCTCTTATCATGGCTTGTTGAGTAGGTAAAGCTGTCAGTGACTCGGCAGCATATAGGCTTGTTGAGACTGATATTATACTGTTTGAGCACTGGACTTATATTATAACAGTTCATACTTGTCAAATTTGATTTATTGAAGTTGTGAGATCAAAATTTCTTCTCAATCTGAACTCCGAAATCTTGGCAAAATTCAAAGATGAAACTTTAATTTTTTGTGATGATCGTGTATTTACTTTCTTGAAGGCACCAACTTCTGTCATGTATATATGCAATGATAGCTTCAAGAATGATTTTAAATATTTATTTGGGGTTCGATGATAACCCAAATAAATATTTAAAATGCCCCTTGTCTTAAAGGGAATTTTCAATTATCATCAGATTTTTTATATTTTTAAACTTAAAAATGCCCCATGTTTTGTGGGAGAATTTCTAAAACATCTTAGAAATATTCTTTCCCTTTGCAAGAGAATGATCTTCAGCTTGCTTTTCTAGGAACAATACTTCTTCAAATATCTCCCATTAATCGAGGGCATAGGCTGTCGACCTTCTAGATCGATGAGTTGATATGCTCCTCCTTGGTACACCTTCTCGATAATAAAAGGGCATTCCCAATTTGGTTTAAATTTACCACCAATTCTTCGGTGTGGGATAATTGGTCTTCTTAGCACCATGACCAATTCTCCTTCTTGAAATGCTTGATGGAGTACCATACGGTCGAAAAATTTCACCATTCTTGCTCGATAAATTTCAAAATTTTGTTAAGCTTGGAGTCGGATTTTATCCAGTGCATCAAGCTCTTCCATTCGTAGGCGAGCATTTTGTTCTTCTGTGAGGTCATACTGAACAGCTACCCGAAGTGATGGTAGTTCAACTTCAACTGGTAACACAGCTTCAACTCCAAACACCAATGCATAAGAAGTTGCTTTCGTTGGTGTTTTGTATGTAGTACGATATGCCCATAATA